GTTCTAATGGGTGTCTACAAAGTTTATTCAAATAAAAGCCCTGGGGTCAAAACTGGCCCCGCCCCGGGGTCATTGATTTTCCTTATATGTGTATAGCAAAAACTTAAAATAATCTTCTTTGAAAAAACCCAAATAGCTAGAGTTTAGATATTAAGCATGAAACATCTTCTAGTCAGTGTCTACACAGTTCGTTCAAATAAAAGCCCTGGGGTCAAAACTGGCCCTGCCCCAGGGGTGTCATTGTTTTTAACTATATGTGTATAGTAAAAACTTAAAAAATCTTCTTTTAAAAAACCCAATGAGCTAGAGCTTAGATGTTTAGCATGAAACATCTTCTTATGGGTGTCTACCAAGTTTGTTCAAATAAAAGCCCTTGGGTTATAATTGGCCCTGCCGGGGGGCGGGGGAGAGGAAGGTGGAGGAGGTCATTTATTTTTTTCATTATATGTGTGTAGTAAAAACTTAACATCATGAAACTTTTTAATGGGTGTATTCCAAGTTTGTTCAAATAAAAGCCCTGGGGTTTAAACTGGCCCCGCTCCGGGGGCTATATACAGGTGAGCGACCTCAGGGCCATCATGGCCCTATTGTTTCTTCTTTTTAAAGCTAGCACATGGTCCACACGTTTGAGATTTAGACGCTTTAACCGCCCGGTCACCTCTGTTCCTATATGACTATTTATTTATGCTTCTTCTTATGTATTCCGTGATTCATCCTGATCAAGACATACCAAACTTAAGAAGGCCCTGCGCAAAGTCTTCAAATAATGAAACACCATTGCGTAATGCGACGAAAATGAAAAATGTACTTAAGGTTTATATTATATAACTTAACTACCTAAACTTGCGAAAATTGAATACATAGTTTATCTTTTAGTTTAAACTTTAAACATTATAATCTTATTTTAAAAAGTATATATATAAACAAAATAATGGTGATCATAGATCAGAGTTAAATTTTACTTTAGTGTATTTTAAAATGAAGTTTAAATAACAATGCAGCTTGAATTCATTTACAACTACGGTGCCGTGTCTCGTACCACTGACACTCGTAGTTTTTATAAAAATATTTTTTTACGCATTCAAACTCTTTTGGTCATTGCATTGTTTTAGTTGTTGTAATAGCTGTGGTCTTCTACGTGTGTGTTTAAATTAGAGGTTATTAACTGTGACTCTTCAGATTACATCAATGTTTTGTCAATATTTGTTTTAAATATGTAAACACTTTATTGAGGCATTGTCTGAAAGTAAAACTTTGGTACGACTACTATTTAAGCAAATCAATATTATCTGCTCTAAACCTGTTTAATAATGTATTGTTGATATAAGTATTCATGGAACGCAATTCTTAGCCAGTCATTTCTGATACAATATTGAACAAAATACACAATGTTTCCTTTCATTTGTTCTAAAGTACTTTCACTGGAATATTCAGTTTATTCAGTAAACACTGCCGGTATTAGTAAATCGATGCATTTTATAGATACTTACGTTAATTCAAAATACAATTAGTTTTGTTTGCTGACAAGAGTGCCCCGATATTTAAACTATGACGCTCTTATTGTTTGGTACTTTTATTGTATTCAAATGTTACTCATTGGCCAATTACCGGAACCATCTTTTTATCTGTAGCTATTTAGCATGAATTAGAATTTTGTATGGAAGTCAAAATACTACTTTGTTTACATTTCGATACTTTTAAGACAAATTATTTCACATTTATCGTTAGTTTTTTTAAGGTAAAGCAACTAACATTTCTCTAAAAGCATAAATATCTAAACATTATGAAATTCATGTTTGTCCTTTATAAAGAAGTAAAACTTTATTTGTTTCTGAGGCATAATGTGCCTTTAACTCGTGGATTTTGCTTTTGGAGTTTGATATTTTATATTCAATTCAATATTTTTCTCGGCAAAACATTTAAATGTTCATCACCCGTACAGTTCGTTATGCTAATAAAAATAAACAAACAAAAACAATATAAAAACTCACAATTAATTGTAAATAGGAAATTCAGTTTCAACCAAACTAAAGTTAATACATGTAACTTTATTTAAAGTTTTCATTATAACAAATGTTATCAAATGGAAATCTTGGTCGTAAAAGTTATATTCAGGGTCAGAAGCGTGTTTCATACAAGACACAGCATAATTCAACATACACAAAACTATGTTTAATGTAACAAAGAATGTTTTATCATATGCCCATTGTTAACTGTTAGCCTACTGGCAGAAACAGATTCTTCACATTGGACCAGTGCAGGCCAATATCGGCCAGTATATCCGTCTGATCACGACGTGCACTGTTCGCTATTCAGATAATGTATATTTTGAAACTTCCACTAAAAATGAAAAATGGCTTGTTCAAATTGTAAGATGAGCAAGTCCAGTTAGAGTATTTAGCATGGTAAAGGTTAATATTATGGACCTGTTGTCTTTTATAACAAAGTGCTTGCAAAGTGTTTACACTTATCAAGTGTTGCAGCACGTTTCAACGTAACAAATATTAAAAAAGTCGTTTTTGTTGTAGGACAATCGCATTGACACGCCTATGCAATACACCTCATCGAGACTATATAACAAATTCGAATTTGTGGTCTCATTGCAGAACTTTTGAATATTAAACTTAAATATCTTTATTGAAAAATATAATTTGACAACAAAAATATAAAAAAATAATACAAATGCCGAATACTAATGAGGCTTGATCAAATCCTGTATATAGTAAAGTTATTAATGGTAATTTAATTCTGAAATTTATAGCAGTTTACAATGTCATGATAAATCTCTTTATAAGCAGATGCAGAAGTATGAGTAAATTTAATCATTTATGACAATACTATAATTATAAAACTATTGGGCATCTATATAATGTATGATCCATAAACTAATCAATCTTCTCAGTTTCTTTAAGGCTCACTCTTTGGTCAAATTGGTCCAAACCGACCAATATTGACACTGTGTTCAATAATTTGGCTTCCAAAATATCAGACGAGACAGAAAAACTTATAAAGTATCTTATTGTCTCTATTTGTTATATAGACTAATTTCTAATAACCGTTATATTTGTAATAAAGATATATCTTGAACAGTGATTTATACATCATCCTTTTATCCGAACTGACATTGCATGTAGTTTGTGCACAAATATTCATTTGTCGTTTCTCTTATCAAATTCTCACATGTTCAGGTCAATATTAAGATACTCGTATAATGGAATTAAAAGACAAGAATCGCACGAATGGTGTATAGAAAAGTGTTAGCTTAAATAAAACTTATAATTTGTTTTTTAAATTGTTGGCATTTTGACACTAGTTTTGTCATGTTTTTACTTTTGACGTTGTAATGACCACTAAATATCTTATAAAAAGAATTTACTTCGTAATCTGCACGAAATCGTGATCTATGGATTTCTTTAAATACGAATTTTCTACTGCGGATAAAAACGTTCTTATAGGTTGAAAATTAGACCGGTGGTATTAGACTTAAACTCTTTCAATACGCGACTGGCTGGTTACTGAACTATTTTAATATATAGAACATTTTACATGTTGATTAGTGTTGCATACAGCCATATTATCCAATGTGCCTTTAACCAATCGCTAATTAATAAATACGAGCGTTTTCTCAAGAGTTCACATAAAAGTCCAGTCTTCATTTCTTAAAGAAAGCATACGTATTTAGTACAGTAAAACTTCGTAAACTTAGAAAGTTCTGAAATCCCAACAATTTTCTTGGTCCCTAAATTTCTCATTCTGTTTACTATGTTATTTATATTTCTGAAGTTCGGAACTTATACATTATGGATTCCGAATTATTTTCTTGTAAAATTTGGGATTTATCAATTAAAATTAAATTCCAACATCGCGAAAATGCTTTGTAAAACAGACAAACCTGTCTGTATCGACCATTTATCTTGACACCTGTTGTCAAGCATGACAAGCCGTTTAGAAGTAAATGATTACATGTTAAAAGCCTACTAGCATGCTAGTGTTATCTATTGATATATATCAGAATTAAAACTGCAAAATAGAGTTTATTTAAAATTTACATGATCTTAGAATATGATAACAGAAAAGTTTAAGCAAAAAAAAACAAAAACAACAACAAAAACAAATAAACCATAACTTTCCCCCATTTTCGAGTTTTCTGCCCTCGAAATGCTTATTTCAAGGTCAGACAATTCACAATCAAGGTAAGCAGTGCTTAACAAAACGTTCAATAATTTGTTTATTTTGTTTTTGTTTAAGACTATGCTTTTCTCCCCTTAATAAATGTCTTATTTCTAAATAATGTCCAGTCTTCTACTTTAACTGAACGAAGGGAACACAATTTATCAACATAATTTCATGGAATTTGTATCGCGACCAGGGATAAAATGACAAAGCAAAAACAAATGACTGAAATGAGATTTGTAATACTTACGTTAAATAATCTGCCCCTAAAATGACCGAATTTAACAAAAGGAAAACAATAATTATAAAAAAAAAAAAACGCTCAAGACCTCAGAATCGTATTGGCTGAACCTCATTTTTCCGCTCGATATGTTTCTGTTATCAAAATCGTACGTGTTAATGTTTTGACTCTTTGTACAAATCATTCTATTAAATGTTCCATATAGAACGTAATTCCGAAAGAATTTGGTATAGGGCGTCTGTATATGGTCTTTAAAAATTGCCAAAGTCTAAGGCCTTAAAGAAAGTAACCATTGTATGCATATTCACTCGTTAGAAAGTTATCTGTTTTAAAAACAATACAACCCTAATGAAAATTGCGTCCTCTTATCTTAGTTTTTTGTTATGCCACATAATTGTTAAAAATAGGATCATATGATTAACAGTGTTGTGTAACGCTGACCTGTTCTTGACCCGACCTGTTTTAAAGTAGCCGATTAATTGGCATAAATATTAAGGCTTAATTGGTCGACCATAACATTTGATCGATTTAACATTTAAATAATATTTAAAATTGGTCAGGATATCATTCTGTATCTGGAAGCAAGCATGGCGCGGGTCGCTATTGCAATCGCCGTTGTGGCAGGTATAATATATATCTATTCATATTTAGTTAGTTATTCTATTCAATTATAATATTAATTTATCAAAATGAATATATACGAGTTCATCTGAATAGTATTGTTAATAGATAGATTTAATGGTGTTTTTTTCTGATGACTTCTTAAACCCGATGAAATCAAATATTGTATGTATATATTATTGAAATGAAAAATATAATGCACGTGTTATTTAGTTATTCTTGTATACATAATTCATAAATTATCCTACCGCCAGATAAAAGAGAGAATATCAATTTTCTAGGTTTCCATTTCAGGAAGCTTGATATTCACTTTTTATCTTTAGTAAGTTAGTTTCTCTATATATATTAATTTGGATTTCTTCGAGATTTTTGTTGTTCTACTTTTACCCTGGGTGATCATTTTGACATTCAAATCAAGTTTTTTTTATTATTTTACTTATTTTGTACTTACCGATGTGACTGAATGATATATTTTGAACCATAGTTAAGCTGAAATTGTCCAAAAGTAAATGGAAATTTCTATACATAGCTGCATAGCTTGGATCGTTGCTTCGGTAGGTAGTTGAATGACGACTAAACATTAAATGTATATACTCGTATTTGGAGGTCCTAACTATTGTAACATTTTAATTTTGTTTCATGTTATATTAATCTTTGTTATTCATTTATATTTTCAGTATTGATGGTACAAGTTGGTAAGTTTATTTTTATTTTCGAATACATATTAGAAAGTACATATATTTTTTAAGTATTGTTATATGGAGACGGATGATCTCGGCTTACATTAAATGTAAGGGATTTATATTAAAGAGGTGTGAGTTAATGTATTTCTATGCATATTGATAAAGGATGATCAGGCAAATATTTTTCAACATAATCTGGGACCATCACTTGCGTGAGAGCTTTTAATGTGTCTGTTCAAGTGTAAATAAAGTGGTACTTGTTTAATGTCAATGCTGAATACAAAATACTGATATAAATTCACTATTCAATATACAAATGTAAATGTAAAATCATATATGAGAGCCATTTTATGTTGCTTATACTTAATATTATCTAGTGAGCATGTTCCTCTTGAGAGAAATAGTCGGGTATTTCTGTTTGTAAAAGAGCACATTCAATTTAATGTTGATAAAAGGATACTACATATTGTATTTCAGAAATAAATATGACTATTGTAATTGTTATATTTTTCTTTCTGTAGAAGGGCAAACGTGTACTTTATAATGCTGTTATATTGCATTTAGGAACATATGCGATCAACTTAATTAAGTTTTGAATGGGAAATATTTGTGATAAAATTAGCAAAAATATAAACAAAGTGGTATTTTGACTTCCCTGCAATTTAATCACGAAATACTCAAATTTACAACCTAATTTCAATATAGTACCTGATATAGAACAGTAAAAAAGCTTTAAAAGATTTAGATATGCAAAACAGGCCTTTAATAAAATATCCTGGCCGATTCAAATGTGTAATATCCTGCTTTAAAAACTTTGAAAATGAAACAAACAAATTTATTGTAGATGAAATCTAATCTGTTACTGTAGTAGCCTCTCAACAGAAGTTCTGTTCTAAAATTAATGACGTCGACCTCTAGACTAATAAGCACTTTATTTAAGGTGCACGAGTTATATTCCTAAATGTTTGAATAACACCGTGGATCATTTGAGCCGCGTCACGACAAAACCATATAATGGGTTTGCGACCAGCATGGATCCAGACCAGCCTGCGCATCCGCGCAGTCTGATCAGGATCCATGCTGTTCGCTATCAGTTTCTCTACTTGTAATAGGGATGGTAAGCGAACAGCATGGTTGCTGATCAGACTGCGCTGATGCGCAGGCTGGTCTGGATCCATGCTGGTCGCAAACCCATTATGTTGGTTTTGTCGTGACGCGGCTCAATTTTGATTATGTTTTAATGAATAAAACTAGGTAGTATTAATCTATGAGTAGGAGAATGAGGGGACAGTGGGAATCTTTCATCATATACTGTAGCTATGTGAATATTTACGATCATTACAAAATGTATCTGGTAAAAAAGATGTTAGCATACTTAGTCTAATGAGTATTGAATAATTAATATAATTATTCTTTTTATAAAAAAAATGAAATGTTCATCAATCATCAAAATCGTCGAAAACTTTAGATGTGAAATTAATATTTCAGGTTTTGTAGAGTGCCAACTAAGGAATTTGACAAAGAATGCCAATACAACACTATCAAATAATACACTCAGCAGGACAACAACACCTGTAACACTCCTGACAAAGTCTAGGGGCGGATTTGTAACAACTACACCGTCTATAGCATGGGGTAAGTGTTTAATTGTGTTGTGTTTTAAATTATTGACCTATTGAAAGTACACCACACCACCAGATACTTAAATGTCACACTCTTTTAAAGGGTAAAACGAATTCATTACATCATAAGGGTAAAACGGACTCTTTACATCATAAGGGTAAAACCATTACACCATGAGGGTAAAACGGACTCAATACATCATAAGGGTAAAACGGACGCTTTATATTGTAAGGCTAAAACGCACTCATTACATCATAAAGGTAAAACGGACTCCTTACATTATAAGAGTAAAACGGACTCATTACACGGACTCATTAAACCATAAAGGTAAAATGGACTCATTACATTGTAAGGGTAAAACGGACTCATTACATTGTAAGGTAAAACCGGACTCATTACATCATAAGATGACCTAACGAAAGACAAACACTCATTGTTAACATTGTTCCATATTTAAATCTACTTTGTTCTCTTATATCTTTTAAAGCCTTCTTAATGCAAATGTTATATTAGTTAAAGAAAAACAACTTAAGAAACATTTATGATTATTTTCATATGATACTCTATGAAATATGTTAGATTGAACTTGCAGAAAATGTTTACTCTAAAAGTACAGATAAACAACCAGATGTCTTGATTATTTTCCTGTCTCGAAACTGGAAACTACTGTTAATTGACATCAACTTTTGAATAAATTAGATAACAATTTGGAACAAACATGACAGTATTTCAAGATTAAATAATTATTTTACAATTTTTATTTAAATATCACTATAAATTTTTAATAAAGAAGCGACTAAGATATTCAGCATTCCTTAATATTTACTTTCATGTTACTTATTCTTTGATGCTAACTAAAATAAATATGAGTACTCTTTTCCGTGATATACAGTTACAAAATCACTGAGCAAAGATCAACAAAGGTTATTCAACGGAGCCTTTGACCCTCAGTCAACCGTCACATTCACTGGCAAGTCAATGTTTGACTCTAGGTCTGGAAATGTATCCGATGATTTCTTGGATCTTCTTGACAATGACGAGAAAAAGGCAATCATGGACTTGCAGAACGATTGGAAAGACGGTATGCCCCTTTTTAAATATTCTACTCCCATTATTCATACTCAAATGGTAATATAAATTAGATCGAAAAATTATTGACCATATGCTTAGCAGGTTGGATGATATTTGCTCCACCTGTTGCTCTAACATTTTGAAATAACATTGTGGCTGATAACCATCCACACATGTTCATACAGAGTTCAGTAAATTAAAAAAAAGAAAAACAACAACAACAACACAAAAAACAACAACAACAAAACAAACAACAACAAAAAACCAAACAACAACAAACACAAAACAACAAAAAACAACAACAACAACAACGCAATAGCCAATAGATTTTTAATTGATACCAGATGATAAAACTATAATGCAGACAATTTTATGAGCCTCACCACAACAAATCCGACATAATGGGTTTGCGACCAGCATGGTTCCAGATCAGGATCCATGCTGTTCGCTTATAAACCATATAACAAGAAGAGAAACTGATAGCGAACAGCATGGATCAGACTGCGCGGATGCGCAGGCTGGTCTGGATCCATGCTGGTCGCAAACGCGCTATGTTGGTTTTGTCGTGACGCGGCTCATATGATAAACTGAACATGTTTTTGTCCCTAAAATATCAGTAATTTTGGAAAGTAAAGAATTTCAATAAATAATTCGCCACCAAACATAATGTTTGGTTCTCAATCGCATATGTATTGACAGACAGCGTTATGCAACAAAGGATTACAAAATCTTTTCTATTATTTGTTTCAAATCATTTTATGTCATTATCAAAAAATATTCTGTCATATACATGTACTTTGTAATTAAGAGCATTCTTTTCCAGTTATTGATTTGGGCGATTTATTCAAGGACGCCATGCCCGACGACGTACAGTTTTTTTCTCAGCAGTTCAGTAACATGGACAAATCGAAGTTGGAGAAAATGTACGATGCACCGGGAACTGTTCAGACCGCCGATTTAAAAGCTGTTCCACTTGAAATAATTGGAGCGCTTAATGTAAGTAAAGACATTTTCACTTCAAAAATAAAAGTGAAAATAAGATATTATAAAAAATTTAAAAAATGTTCAAACGAGTTGGTCTATTGTTATTAACTAATAAATGGTTTTATGTAAAGAAATACGCGCACTGGCCCTTTATCTAAATTAATAAAGTTGAAAGAGAAGTTTTATAATTGGACTAGAAAATTTGACAAACACATTTCCTGAACGAATATTGAAGTTAATTTAAAACAAGTTAATGATGATAGTTGTTAGTGTTGATACACATTTTGATATTGAAAAAGACTAGGGATGTTTACTTTCATATATTGGTGTCTATGCATGTAATTCAAAGTAAAACAAATAGATTTATTAAAAAAATTAAGTATGAAAATATGAATAGAAATGTGTTACTGTATGCAGAGCTGAATAAGTTAATAAATCAAAGCTACATGCAAATGCCTTAAAACTTTATACAGGACACAGTTCGTAAAGACAAGCTGAGCAGATTTCCTGCCGACGCCAAAGACATGCTTTGCAAGAAATTACAGAATGATGAAACGGATTTTGATACAACCAAACGAATTGCCCTCGGTCTAGACTGTGTGGCCAGTTTGAAGAAAACGAGTGTATGTAGTTGCACATTTTATTAACAAGTTATTTGTTTGATTTATTTTGATTTTTATTCTTTTAAAGTAACTTTGTAGGAAAATACTGTAAGAGCGCTACGCTTGAAAGAACCTATACCTGAATGTCTGGTTTTATTATTTAACATTAGCAGTTATATAGTCTGTAACCTCACATTTTAAATAAGTTTATTTTGTAATTGAAAACAATTCTAACAATATATTTTAATTCATCCTTGTCATCATCGTCGCATAAAACCAATTTGAAAAACTTTATTTTAGAAATTGCCTCAAGGAAGCTTAGCTAGGGCTATTGCTATGAATAAAATGGAGAAGAAACATCCGAGAGATTGGTCACCAACAGAATGGAGGGATTCCATCAAAGATGGATGGTTTGCGGGACTTCCCGATGGTGTTATTGAAAGATGTCCAAGTAGAGTTGTAAAGGACAAGTATGTATATAGAAATGCAGTAACATTGTATAATCTGCTGACATAAATAGACAGAACGTGTCTGGCATGCTGTAGAGGGACTGAATTAAAAACGATTTAAAATAATTTGATTCTGCATATCAAATATAATGTTAATATAGTGACGAGTTAACCAAATAAGGGGACAAGCTGACTAGGTAAGGATGAATTGACCAAAGTTAAAGGACTAGTGTGGGAACTAAAGTTTCGATTTGAACACAAGACGGGTTGAATTGACATTTTCATATACTGTATCCTGGCTAAAATGAAAAGAAAATGTTCTAACTTGGCATTTCAGCAAAAAGAAAATACATGTATTCATGTATTATTGAGTACAACTTTTATGATGCCAACAGATTCAGATATTCTTTCTGGTTAAGATTTATATGGGTTATATATATACAAGTGTGTTGTCTGTTTTTGTTTTTTTAAAACTGTTTATAGATTGAAATGAGAATGTGAGATATGCACATAAATATAACGCTTTTCTCTCTCTTTTGTTTGAAAGATGTATGTTGGTTATATGTATACAGGTGAACTGTCGGTTGTTGATTCATTATGTAGACTATTATTTGATCACCGTATTGATTATCAAGAAGTACTTTTTGCTATTAATATAAGTGAAATGACAAAAATAAGATGGAGTGTCTTGAGACAAATATTAATAATGAATAAAAGTAGTTAGCATACTTTAGTAATGAGTATATTATAATAAGAATTTAGATATACTAGTATAGGCCAAATGTTAGTCACATCGCACTGTTTAAAACTAACCAAAACTAAAAATTGCATGGTTCCCATTCTACATGTATCCATTTTAAGATAGATATTTCTTAAACGTCACGGTATCGTTATATACAATTCGTCAATTGTCAAAATCTTTGGTATCATTTGGTCTATTTTTAATACAAAAGTACAGAATGGGGTGTACAATAAAAGAAAACATGTTTTGGTTAATAGTTTCATTTCTGATGTGTTATTATTTTGATATTTACACTTTTACTAAAATTACTCACTTCACTTCTTTGGGGTATAGAGATTCCATTTTAATTATATAAACACACACATATCGTTTTTTAAGTATGCGAGACCTTACGAAGATCTCGAAGGATATGGACAGTAAATTAAAGGACAAGGTTATGTCAAAGGTCAAAGATGCATCTGGCGGCGCCAAGGGTATGTCAGCTTCTGATATCAGCAACATGGGAGACATGGTGAAAGACATGAATATGAGAGAAATGAAGAGTTTAAATGCAACCGCGGTAAATATATCACTACTGTACAGTACAATAAATTTTTAAATACACTAAAGTCACCAATGTCGGGATAATTGGACACGTCCGTTTGTCCAATTTTGTGTCAAATCTGTTTCAATTCTATTTGTGTTAATCGAAAAAAAAATCCTCATGAAACACAAGACGAGGCTGCATATACAACATGCAAAACTGGGAACCTATTTAAATTGGTTATCCCGGCTAAATGCTTATACTAGAGGTCCAAAGCTGGTTCTCAAGTATCTACCTCGGGAAAGCATATATCAAGAGGCATTTATATAACGCATATACTAAAGTTCAGTTATTATGGAACATATTATTATAAAATGCGGATCCGAATAAGTAAACATGTATTTGTTATGCTCCCACTGCGCTTAGATTGCGCTATTTCAAATCGTTCTGTTATTTTTTCTAATTATTTGTCCTGGTATAGTTATGTCTTTTAACTTATTTATCCAATTAGGTACGACAAAGTTTGAAAACTTTTAGCGACAATGCTAAGAATATGAATCGTGCACAGAAAATGCAGATGCGAAAGACTGTGAGAGACAGTGTAGGCTCAGCTGGAAACTGGACCACTGATGACATAGTTAGGTAAACTTGTTCTATATATATATCTAAATGATTTTGCAAGTAAAATGTACAATTTCTAGCAATAATGACCACTTCTGGTCAAACTAGATGAATTTTGTTTTATCAAATCAGATATCGATTCATGAAATATTAATATCAAACAAAAAACTGAAATGAATTTATGATTCAAACAAGGCCTATGCCAGTGAATGGTATTCCTTGATTTCTACCATGATTCAAATTTCTAACATGCTGCTTTCTTCAGTTTGAAACACGCATTAATTTCCATATTTTATGTCTTGATAATGCGTTCAAACATATCAAACGAAATCTTAAAATAAATTAAGCGCATTAATTTCATTTTTCTTATAGTGCAGCAGCGTTTATAGGACGCGATAGAGATCTCATGAAGAAAATCGACAAAGATGTTTTGATTGCCGGTATGCAAAATCTTAGCAGAGAAGACATGGATCCAAAAAGTGTAAATATACTTCGATAATAAACTACAAACCTGAAATATTCATGTTCATATTAATACTATTATAAAAATCAAATTGCTCAATCGATGTTCAATTTAATTGAAGGGTGAAAGATAATTGTCTATGTTTTCGTAAAACATGAATTTTAACATTATGATATATGCTCTTCGGCAAAAATAAAATCAACTGAAATTACTGTTTATCAAATTGGCAGTCTTATAATTGTGTGACAAATTATAAGTAATATATTTTGTAAAACTCGATACAATTGTGCCAAACCTGTTAGTTATATCATATACCGTATTTTCATTAATCATCCAATTGATATACTTTTTGATTGGTCGGTAAATTCTATTGGGTATCAATGACTCGCATATTAAGTAGATATTTACGCCATTACTTCAGTGTTATTGAGTCAGACATATTATATCATAACTTTCTAATTTAGAATTTGTAACAATGCATTTGATTTAACAGGTATTCGCACTGGTATACAATATGATACATTTTATTTTGAATTAAGATGAGTAATACATGTGATGAAAGAAGATGATATTATTAATCTACACGATTTATATAAAATGTACTCAAAATAATGATTACGAAATAAAAATCTTTTTTACTTGAATTGAATATCCATGCGTGATATAAATTGAAACAATATCACTCTATCTTCATGGAGAACTAATTATTATACGAGCAAATTATTCCGTGAATTTTGAGAAAGTTATTTAAAAATCATTTACGCATATTGTATGGAAAACAACTTGTTATTTCAGGCACGGACAATGCTGTCAAAGATCAAAGAGTCTGCAGATTACGATCAGCCTTCTGATTTCGACACAAACAAGTTTAAAGAGATCGGAAATCTGGCAAAGGGTCTCTCCCCAAGGTTTGTAAAGAACATGACAAATGTGGACTTTGGCTCACTTCTTGGTTCAGGCGATCTGAGAGACATTGACTTTGCAGACAATGTAAGTTGATTTCCTTTGTTTCTTAAATTAACTGCATGTATTTTTAGTGTCTAACAATTCTTTTAAGACGACAGAAACAGTTATATATGTTAAATGTATGTTTGATGTGTCTTGTAACTCAATGAATATTTATATAAAAAACATGTTCAAACTGTTACGAAATAAACACGGTAAGTCGATAATCATCTCTTATTACATGTATATCATTTTTCAGTCAAAGGTTGTGGTAGACCGGGTACTCGCAGATTCCGGGAAGAATGCGGTAAGATATATAACAATTTCTGTTTTGTTTTCATCTTCTAACAACAATATGTCGCCGTTTATGTGCATATTCAAATTGTCTTTTACCATTTATTATATACTTTTTGAATGTTTTATTTATTGCACTTAATAATTTATTATTTGCCTGAAACTAAATTGTATAGTTTCGATAGTTACCTGACACTTTTAAGCTATAAACAGCAACATTTACTTTCTTTGCTGTTATAATATTGACACAGTAATTCTCTTTCAGCTCAGCAAAGCAGATCTAGAAAATCTTGGTAAGAATATGAAAGGTCTTCGTAAAGATCATGTTGATAAGATCAGTGCTGATGATCTAGCTACAGCTCTTGATGACATGAAGGATACTATAAATGAAATTGTTGACGCCATGGATAAAACTACTCTTGACAGTATGATTAAAAAGGTACGAAAACCAGCACAAGAAAATAAAATTATATTAGTACTAAAGCTATCTCCTTACATATCTTAGATTACTGTAATTTTTCCATTGACGTCAGGAATATAGGAACAAGTAATTAGGTGTTCTGTTTGGATAACTGTTATAAAATTTTATAAGATGTAACAAAATTTACAATATGCAGTCAGATAATATAAAAATAATTATCTTTTCAGGTAGAAAATGCAACCGGTGGACTTGGAGGAAATCTTGAGAAGATGGGAAGCTTGTTACAAAAGGTCCCTGTAAAGAAACTTCAAGCACTGTCAGATTCCGACTTTGGAGATATGTCAGGCCAGACTGAAAGAAAATTGAACTGCAGCAAAGATACGGTTAATATTTTGTATAGATTTTATCTCAGCAATTCATTGTAAACAACTTATATACGTATAACTATCACATTCAACATGTCAAAAAGGATTCAACTATCAGTTTGTGGAGACATAAAGTTCTTTATTTGAAAATTGTTAAACCTTTTCCCAACTGCAGTTGAAGTAATATATGTGGCTAGATATTGGTCATTAGTAAATAAGATATTATATAAAAGTGACATATTACGGGATTTATTATATTCTTAAGTACATGTATATGCCTGTAAAGTGTTTTCTAGCATTGTCAATGTTAACAAATCATTACCAGGTAACAAAATATAAATAGCTTCTTCTCACCAAAGGTGTCGTATATGTATTTGTTGCTTTCCTTTTGAGCAGTGCCCTGAATTATACAAGCGTGTTAACAACACCATTGGTCAACCAGGCATCAGGAACCCCAACTTCACTATGACGGTTTTTAGAAACCTTGGAAAGGTTATGTGTGGCATGTCATTGGACGATTTGAAGATGATTCCAGCAACCAAAATGCTCGAAGATATTGCCGGATATTTAATTGGACTAGATTGTCTTTCAGACAAACAAGTTAGTTTAGTATTTTCTACTTATAGACACATCAACATATTTATATACGTGTCTGAACTAATCTAATTGAATATTAAGTCAAACACAGAACGGTTTTTAATACGATTATGTTGACGGCAATTATTTCCTAAAATGTCATTATGTTTTAATGTGTACACATGAAAAAAACATTCAGAAAGCTTGTTTGTTATCTTTATGTATAAATGCAAAATATTAATAGATAGGCTTTGTTTCCCATTTATATATTGTTAAATTGACGTCACCTTATTAAGTAATGTATACATACCGTGTATTTTGGGCTCCCGGCTTTAAAAACCAAATAAGGTTATTTGAATTTGAACTTTCTGTGACAATTTTTATAGGAAGGTTTAATACAATAGAATTAACTTTTATTTGATTATTGTTCTACGTTTTCAGGAAAGAATCTTGGCCGAAAAACTAAAGTATCGTCTCGGTTTGTTCAGTGGAAATACACGTACTGTTTCTTCCCAGGACATTAAGAAATACGGCAAAATTCTAAAACACTTTGAGTATGTCTTTAGTACATTTTATACTTTTAATTTCGTTTGCAGTTTACTTTGTTGTTAAACTTGAAATGACTTGTCACAATATTTTAATCTTTCTCTCCATTTAAAATACATAGAAATGCAATATTGAATGAGATGGGTACTTACTTTCATTAAAAGATTGATATATTTCATTCTTGTTCAAAATAGCCCAGATGATCTAACGAGCCTTGGAAAGTCAGTTTGTGAAGACATAGCACTTGAACTTGGATCAACAGATCTTTCTAATGTCAAAAGTGAAGATCTCAAAAAGCTTGCTGATTATGCCCAGGAATGCGTGGTATGTTTGAAAAAAAAAAACAACGAAATATGTTCTTTAATGTAACAAAGATTGATAGCTTTATACTCAAATTAAGTTGATTGTGAAACAGAATAATCCGAGTAAATCAAATTTCTATTCCCGTGTATTTTAAGTAACATGACGAGAGATATTCTGTTTAAAACCGTACGAGTACATGTATATGCTTACTTTATACACAGACCTACTCCTTTTAAAAGCAGTTACGACGATACATTTTTTAGCTAAAGTATTTTTATATTTCAGAATAACACAGTAGATGCTATCAGTTCCGATGACCTTACAGCCATAGGTGACATAGTATGTGGTTTGGACACAAGTCGTGTGGATGATATAGACAATGATGCCATTGAAGATATCGTAAATGAAGTACAAAAGAAATGTGCTCAATGGACAAGCAAAGAAAGAAAGTCATGGGCAGATACTGCAATGAATAAATTGAATGTGTAAGAAAATAAATCCATTCACTGTGTTTGCCATTCATAACGTAAGACAAACATTAATGCATGTTTAAATATGTTTTTTGTATAAAATATATCGTTATATTATTATACAAGCGTTCAATTAAATATTTCAGGACTTCAGACAAGATAGCTGACACCGATGATGTAGTGTTGACTCAAATTGGAACCTTTGTGGCTGAACTTGACAAATCGGACCTTGATAAAGTTCCAAATGTAAGTCGTACCTTCACTTTTTTATTTACTATCCGCGTAAAACTAGGTAAGTGCAGAAAGAGAATAAGGTTAAATAACTGTAGAAATCTCTGGTATGGTCGTCCGTAAATATTCGATTTGCCTCTTTCACGAATAATATGTATGTAATTCTACTTTAATTCCATGTAGCAAAGTTAATTAAGGGTACATGTTGATAAGTGTATATGATTGTTCGTTTTTGCATTAGCCTTTCATAATTAGTCTTAGCAAGTCGTAAGTTAACTGAGCATGCATATAGTAACTATATGTTCACTTCTTTATAATTATGTTCTTCAATACTTGAATTTATTATAGATTCGTGATAATATTCCTTTCTAAGATATATTTCATCAGATTATCATTTGCAGGACGTGATGTCAAGCATTGGATCTGACATCGTTGACCAATTCAAAGATAAGAAAGAACAACTTGATAAACGTGACAAAAAAGGATTCGGTGGTGACGTAAAAGATTCAGATAGAAAAGACAGCGAAGAAAAAGAAAAGAAGGTGTATGAAAGATTGATTACTGCTTTCACAAGAACATCCAGAAGGAGAAGGCGTTCAGGTAATTAAGCTGTTATTAGAAATGTTATTAATGTCGATTATCAAACAGATTGACACATGATAAATATTTTCATCTAGTATGACATGAAAATCAATGATCATCGTTCGCTGATCATAACTAAATTCAGTTTCTTAAGTTAAGAATACATATAGTTTTCAAAAAAAGGCTCTATTTATGAAATTCTGATGGCTTTTTTACTGGTGTTATTGTTACAACTTTAGTATCATCAATATCCTGTGATGACATGCAGTTGTTAGGCTCTGGTGTCACAGCACTTACAACCGACCAGATCGAGGCTATAACAGATTCCGATTTCCTTGATTGTGCCAGCACTCTTGGAGGATATTCAACATGGAGTGCAGATCAGCTAACTTCTCTTCTAACAGTTGCCACCCGAGCCGGAGTAAGTTATTATGAATACTTTCTCTAAACCGTAGTATTTTAATTAGAAGCAACTATAAATGACAAAAAATTGATATAAAAACCAATTTCTGAGTTTTGAATTTATGTTTTGCAAATTATTTCTTTTTTTAGAGAATATTTTGAATCAGGCTAAAATAACTTATATTGTATTGTTTGATCTTAATTGATAATTCAGATTTAAATTAATTGAATTTGTCCAACATATCTATTAGCCAATTTTGGTATAAACAAAATTAATTATTCTGAATTTTAGACATTCAGTACATCATCGGGCTGGTCGGCGGACGATGTTACTGACGCTGGCATCATTACCCAGGGTCTTACACACACTGAGATAGAAGCTCTATCCGACCTTGATTTAGATGCTATGTCTTCTATTGGAAAACATGCTGGTTGGTCCGAGACTCAGGTAAAGCATTGAATATAATCAGTATATATTTCTAGGTTAAGTAGCACAAATGCAACAAAAATTGTCAAGGACTTTGTACATACTAGTTTATTATTAAGATGACTAAACATTCATTTTCATTGAACATGTTAAGTTTTGAAATGTTTAGAACAACATGAAATGGTCCTTTGATAAGATCTTATTTAGGTTAAGCATTCTGATAAAGCGATCAAATTTGATATTGTTCTGCAACTATGATTTAATGTTTTCCTTATGTTTTATAAACTGATGATTTCTTCCTTTGCTTAAATCGCATGTGGTTTTATATATCTGACATGTTATCTCAGTTCCCCCAACATTGAAATGTTTTCATAGTGAGTTGGGAATATTTTAAGTGCCCTTTTATAAGTTATTTCATGCACAAGCGGCATTTTACTTGTTATAAGTGAGATGAAAGATTTATTACTTAAAACAGTTCAAATGTCTTACACAAAAATGGCAAATGCATTGATATAAGAAATTATCAGCTTGATTTTCCTCTACATTATCGACATGACTAACGTTTTGGGTGGTGTATTATTATGGAAAACTTAAGTTTTTAATGTATTTTAAACAATATCAGCAAATTATATTTGCTTCTCATTAAAATGACAACCATTATTTATTATAGCTCGGGTCCGGATTTTCTCGTTGGTTATCTTTAAACAAAGGTAACGACGCAAGTACTGTTACATCAAGTGAGCTCATTGCACTTGGACACTTTGCATGTGGTGCAACGACCAGTCATATTGGACAATTCTCAAGTGCAGAATACAGGTACATGTATAATACCCTTTTACTATTCATTGATCACCAAATACACTAATGTTAATTTTAAATTAATCATCTATGTAATTTTTATTTTTTACAACAGATGATTTTAAACTTATCCTAAAAATGTGAAATATAAAATTGCTTGATATTTACATTTTGTTGCACATTAGAGGTCATATTTAAACATTTCATTTTAAACTTTATTAGTAAAGGAGAACGTAAGGTGCTCTCCGTTCATTATTACAGATACGAGCGGGGTGGGCACCCGAGTAGAACCATTAACATTATGAAAGTATCCAACTTCCCTAAAGTTGAGTGTGCAAGTCGTTTGAAGACTATGACCTGCAACACTCGGCCAAGGACGCCTCATTATTATAATCGTAGAACTATCTTTTTTTATTTCACAGTTACTCAGCAAGTTACATTGGTGAACTAACAAGCTGCACAGAGAGCCAACTAGAGGCATATGCCAACCTTGCCGAAACAGCTTTCGGTTCGATCTCCAGCTGGGATACGTCCGTTATTTCTACTGTTGGCGCCATTATTGGTGGTCTCACATCTACAGAAATTGGCACACTGTCAACATCGCAGATCGCCGCTGTCGAACCAGCAAGTGTTGCCCAGATTCCATCTACGTCTTTTGTAGGATTCACGGTTGATCAGCTGTTAAGTTTCAGCGTTGCACAAGCTCAGTCTACAACATCAACCCAGCAGTCTGGTCTATCTTCAGAACAACTTGATGCTCTTGTAACTGCTGGTGCAACCGTAGAATCGTCTGCTGTAGTAGCGCAAATACCAATTTATGCTGTTTTGTTGGCTGCTCTTCTTTCAATTATTTACACATTCTAGTTCATTCACTCAAGTTAGTTATCCTTTTAATACTTAAATACAATTTGACATTCTAATGTATTGATGCTACAGTACATATTTCAAGTACGAATTTTTTCAAAACTAAATTAAATTTCAAATAGATATTAATAATAACATATTCATTTTCAAGGTAAATGAACATATGATGAATAATTAGATGATATGTTTTATTATTTTGGTTTTTCTTATAAATTTAAATTTAGGATTATTATCTCTGTTCCGTTATTCGAGTTTTTATTTTCACTAGCGTAATTGTTGTTATACCTTCAATAAGAAGATTGTGTCTCGTCTTGATAATATTTATATGTATGACAAATAAAGAATGACAGACGAAATGGTTAGGTCTTTTATAAAGATTAAATCATCAGCATGTAATAAAAATAAAGCAATCATCAGAATAATGATTATTTTATTTGATTATTTTGGTTAACAGTGCAATCAATTAACAAACCAGTCCACATTTGTCAACCAATGATTTCCTGATTTCTGAAAGGCAACAATATGACTACAACTTTAGTTTTAACTCTTTTTTTTCAAGCAAAATATGTTATATATACTACTGGGAAAGAATTGTAAATGTAATTGCTATTGTAATTGTATTTAGAAAAAGTAAGCAAAAACACTTATTTGTTTAAATGTTTGAAATATCTTACTGTAATGTTTTCTCGCAAACATATTTCTGTATGTAATGACACGGCCGGTCATTCCACAGACCATGTGTATCCATTTCAAGACAGTTCTCATCATGTCCACTATTATTTGGTTCTGTTGGTCGCCACTTTGTGTACGTCATATCTGAATGGGAGTTTATCCATATCCATTCACCTTCGGTCGATAAATCTGTCCCGCCAATCCATATTCCTTTATTATCTTTGAATAAAATATGAAGAAAAGCATTCGTTTGTAAACAGAATATCATGGGAAAGTGCAAGAGGAAATAAGCTTCTTATTTGGAAACGAGGATATTGGTGCAATATTTTCGAGCAAAACTAATGTACTATAAATATCGAACATATCTGGCTTGTAAAGCACACATTTACTGAGCCCAGAACGATCTCATTTATATCCTGAAGCACCTGATCCCTGAATTAGAAACGTTAGCATTATTTCTATGTAGAATTAGCCGACTTTTCTAGAATGAGCTCTATAAAATACAAAAAAGCATATTGTGTCATTATTGTCATAGGTACTTTACAAATTAAAAAATCAAAGATATAGGTAGATAAAGCAAATAATTATTTTAAATAATATCAACTTAAACACTTTAGTGGTTCGTAAACATATTTGAGAATAGTGTTCTGATAATGTTATGTATGATTTATATCAGTACGCCATTTGGTAAAGATGCCTCTACAAATGATATACAAAAAATGTATATGGACATTTTTTATCATTGCCAGCAGGAATTATAAAGGATTCCAGCTATAAAACATATTGCTTATCCGAAATGAATAATATTTTAAATAAGACAATACTGTGTGGCATACACAGAAAAAACACGTATGTCTCACATATTTATTATACACTAGATCGATTATATAACGCCAAGAACTTGCACAATCTAACAAATGAGAGTGGAATTTGTACAAAGCGAAAATAAAAAAGAATAGTATAAAAAGTTCGGCGTGAACAACAAACATACACATTCATGATATTATATACATGTATATTGTTCCATTTGACCTCAATATTACTGAAAGCAGAACTACCTGTAACAAGCCCGTGAATAAACGTGTTTTCTTTCTCATCACCAATCTCTGCTAGGTATGCCCCATCCAACTCGCAAACAACCTTACAAAATATAACATATTGTCAAGGTCGATTTCGTAAAATGTTTGGTTGCACACATATAAACATATTCTAACAATAATAAATTATAATATTTGTTTTAGTGTTTTGTAGTCAGTGTGTAATGATATTTAATTCAAAATGATTCATTTTCATTATCAATAAGTAAATACAATTTTTGAAATTGCAACAATAGATTACAAGTCATAACACTATTTCTTATTAAAATAGCGAAAAACGGATTCCCTTAAAATGCCCAAATGACATAATCTAAAATGTTGCATGCTCGGTCTGATTGAGATTGTTCATAGACGGCACTGGAAAACGCAATTAACCGTCCATGCCTCCTTACACCGGGTTAAGCAGAGTTTAAGATTTAAACATGAAAATTGTGAAATTATGAATTTAGAATCATCTGCAGAACGATTAAGTAAGTAAGTTATAACTGAATGACTTATAAAGGTAACAACCTTTGTTGTTGTTTTTAATGGAAAAAATATAGTTGTATTATACCTTTGCATCTATCCAAGTCTCTGTGTCAAATCTTAGTCTATAACATGACTGACCATGATGTATCCAGCCGTCTGGGCACTGACCATAGACCACGGCCACTAATGTAAGAAAAGTCAATGATAAGGTTATAATAATCTATATGCATTTTTTTTGTAACAGAATTACAATTTTCGTAAAGTGTAACACAAAAAAAATTAACAAATACATTACCGGAAAGTGTAAGAAGTATGAAATGTCTCATCATAACAGAAATGAAGTTTATTTTTGACCTTATCCTTCTACTTAAATGTCATAGTATATATATGAAAGATAAGAAAAGTAAATTTAGTGTTGTCAACTTGTCATAACTCTCACATAGATTTTAGATGTCTTAAATGGTGGAATGGTTTTAACATTATACTCTACTGAATAAAACAAGAAAACGACACAAGATTTTAGCAAGGAATTGCGAGCACATTCCAAACTTAGAGTACATGAAATTGACAATGATTAATGGAAAGTTTCAAGAAGCTTACTTTACTCTTACCCAGCTAAACATCTCAAATAACATTTTCTCTTTAATCCGGACAAAACCAATTATCATAAATATGGAAAATTAAAAAAAAAATGAACTGGCTGAATGGCGAACGATACATGCCATGACGGACACGTTGACTAACCTTGGTTTGCACTGTTGGCTTAGTATGGGTGAATCAGTTGCCGCTAGCGGGCTACGGGTTATTGGTCCTGGATTTCGCTTATTTTTTTATATTTTTTTCTGTTGAGTTCCAACAACGTATGAGTATGAAACATATTTATGTTAAAGTGCACTTATTCTCATATTTTTCAAATTTCATTGACAGTTGTTAAATCTTTAGATGTGTCAAAATGTTACATGCATTATACAGTAAACTGTACTGTGTATAAAATAAAAGCAATATATAGTGCTTAAAATTACAAATTATGGAATTAAAAACCATGCAACAGATACACTTAATACGTTGAAAACGAAAAAAAAAGGACAACCCCCCCCCAAAAAAAAACACAACAACAAAACAACAGCAACAACGACATAAAAAATATCTAGTATCATCACACAATAATTTGTTAAATAATTTACATGTAATGTTCATACTATACGCTTTAAAACATTATTTTCGTTTGAAACATACTCGATGCGATTTTTGTTAAGCCTTTCAACATTATTATTCAACATAAAAATAAAGCAATCATCAGAATAATGATTATTTTATTTGATTATTTTGGTTAACAGTGCAATCAATTAACAAACCAGTCCACATTTGTCAACCAATGATTTCCTGATTTCTGAAAGAAGGCAACAATATGACTACAACTTTGGTTTTAACTCTTTTTATTACAAGCAAAATATGTTATATATACTACTAGAATAATCAGACAAGCCACACAAACACGAACATTTAGTAATTTAATTTAATTGCAAACGTTTCGGCTATATGCCTTCATCAGTGCAAAACATAATGAATATACTACTAGGAAAGAATTGTTACTGCAATTGCTGGTGTAACTGTATTTAGACAAAGTAAGCAAAAACACTGATTTGTTTAAATGTTTGAAATATCTTACTGTAATGTTTTCTCGCAAACATATTTTTGTATGTAATGACACGTCCTGTCATTCCAAAGACCATGTGTATCCATTTCAAGACAGTTCTCGTCATGTGCCATATTATTTGGCTCTGATGGTCGCCACTTTGTGTACGTCATATCTGAATGGGAGTTAATCCATATCCATTCACCTTCGGTCGATAAATCTGTCCCGCCAATCCATATCCCTTTATTATCTTTGAATAAAATATGAAGGAAAAACATTCGAACAAAATGTAATGGTAAAGTGCAAGAGGAAATAAGATTCTTATTTGAAAGAGCATTTTAGAAATAAAGATATTGGTGCAATATTTTCGAGCAAAACTAATGTACTATAAATATCAAACATAGCACACATTTACTGAGCCCAGAACCGTCTTATTTATATCCTAATGTACCTGATTCCTTTATTAGAAACGTTAGCATTATTTCTTTGTGTAAAAAGCCGACCTTGCTAGAATGATCACTATAAAATACAAAAAAGTATCTAAATAAGTAAATCTCCATTGCCATACGCATATTGTGTCATTATTGTCATCGACACTTTACAAATTAAAAAATCAAAGATATAAGTAGATGAAGTATATTTTAAATAATATCAACTTAAACACTTTAGTGGTTCGTAAACATATTTGAGAATAGTGTTCTGATAATGTTATATATGCTTTATATCAGTAAGCCATTTTGTAAAGATGCCTCTATAAATGATATACAAAAAATGTATATGGACATTTTTTATCATTGCCAGCAGGAATTATAAAGGATTCCAGCTATAAAACATATTGCTTATCCGAAATGAATAATATTTTAAATAAGACAATACTGTGTGGCATACACAGAAAAAACACGTATGTTTCACATATTTATTATACACGTATATTGATTATATAACGTCAAGAACTTGCACAATCTAACAAATGAGAGCGGAATTTATACAAAGCGAAAATAAAAAAGAATAGTATAAAAAGTTCGGCGTGTTGAACAACAAACATACACATTCATGATATTATATATATTGTTCCATTTGACCTCAATATTGCTGAAAGCAGAAATACCTGTAACAAGCCCGTGAATAAACGTGTTTTCTTTCTCATCACCAATCTCTGCTAGGTATGCCCCATCCATCTCACAAACAACCTTACGAAATATAACATATTGTCAAGGTCGATTTCGTTAAATGTTTGGTTTCACACATATAAACATATTAAAATATTAATAAATTACAATATATGTTTTAGTGTTTTGTAGTCAGCGTGTAATGATATTTAATTCAAAATGATTCATTTTCACTTATCAATAAGTAAATACATTTTTGAAATTGCAACAATAGATTACAGTTCATAACACATTTTTTTTTATTAAAATAGCAAAAAACGGATTCACTTAAAAACGCACAAATGACAAAATCTAAAACGGTGCATTTTCGGTTTTGATTGAGATTGTTCATAGACGGTACTGGAAAATGCATCTTAACACCGGGTTAAGCAGAGTTTAACATTTAAACATGTGAAATTATGAATTAAGGATCGTCTGCAGAACGATTAAGTAAGTCAGTTATAACTGAATGACTTATAAAGGTAACAACCTTTGTTGTTGTTATTAATGAAAAAATATAGTTGTATTATACCTTTGCATCTATCCAAGTCTCTGTGTCAAATCTTAGTCTATAACATGACTGACCATGATGTATCCAGCCGTCTGGGCACTGACCATAGACCACCGCTACTAATGTAAGAATGATAAGATTAAAAATTTTTGTAACAGAATTACAATTTTCATAAAGTGTAACAAAAAAAAATAAAAAAATAAATACATTACCAGAAAGTGTAAGAAGTATGAAATGTCTCATCATAACAGAAATGCAGTTTATTTTTGACCTTATCCTTCTACTTAAATGTCATAGTATATATGAAAGATAAGAAAAGTAAATTTAGTGTTGTCAACTTGTCATAACTCTCACATAGATTTTAGATGTCTTAAATGGTGGAATGGTTTTAACATTATACTCTACTGAATAAAACAAGAAAACGACACAAGATTTTAGCAAGGAATTGCGAGCACATTCCAAACTTAGAGTACATGAAATTGACAATGATTAATGGAAAGTTTCAAGAAGCTTACTTTACTCTTACCCAGCTAAACATCTCAAATAACATTTTCTCTTTAATCGGGACAAAACCAATTATCATAAATATGGAAAATTAAAAAAAAAATGAACTGGCTGAATGGCGAACGATACATGCCATGACGGACACGTTGACTAACCTTGGTCTGCACTGTTGGCTTAGTATGGGTGAATCAGTTGCCGCTAGCGTGCTACGGGTTATGGGTCCTGGATTTCGCTTATTTTTTTATATTTTTTCTGTTGAGTTCCAACAACGTATGAGTATGAAACATATTTATGTTAAAGTGCACTTATTCTCATATTTTTCAAATTTCATTGACAGTTGTTAAATCTTTAGATGTGTCAAAATGTTACATGCATTATACAGTAAACTGTACTGTGTATAAAATAAAAGCAATATATGGTGCTTAAAATTACAAATTATGGAATTAAAAACCATGCAACAGATACACTTAATACGTTGAAAACGAAAAAAAAGGACAACCCCCCCCCCCCCAAAAAAAAACAAAACAACAAAACAACAGCAACAACGACATAAAAAATATCTAGTATCATCACACAATAATTTGTTAAATAATTTACATGTAATGTTCATACTATACGCTTTAAAACATTATTTTCGTTTGAAACATACTCGATGCGATTTTTGTTAAGCCTTTCAACATGATAAATCTCTATATTTATGATACAAATGTACATATGTAACAAACAACAACAAGACACCAAAGGTTTGTATAGACCCATCTTTAATACGGCTTATAATTAAACCAGATCAGGAATGATTTAGAAGTTCAAAATACTGTCTATAACGTATTGTGTGAATTGAGGACACGGCAACTACAATCATCAAGTACACATTTACCGGTTATAGAAGAAAAAGCGTATTCAGGACAGGAATGTTAATCGTAAATCTAAATTTGATCTGAAATTGTCAGACACAAGGGATATAATAATGTTTACAAATCAGCAGAATTCTTATAGGGGACACCTGATGCGATGTCATTAGATGTATCATAGATACAGAGAGTTAAGGAACGGCAATCGGTTAGTGTTGATTTATTCAAAGCTTCAAAGCTTCTTCTTATTGACTTAAACGTAAAATTGTTACGTTGTCTTCCAGTAAATTCTGCGGAAACGAATAACTATGTGCAAGAAGACCTTTCCTGTATGAAATATGTAATACTTAAAAAGAAAAGTCCAAATATTATTAAACAGGATAATATGTTGTACGTCAAAAACTTTCTATTGTGTGAGTTTCAGAATTTAGTTTTATGTATCAGTTTATAAAATATCGCTGAATATAATAGACTTGTCAAGGCGCAGCTAAGCGTACAACCTTTAACCTCTGACTACGACAGCATTTGCATTGTGCGTCAACAGAGGCCTTATAGCGATGTAGGATACAATACTGCGCTGCTATGGCATCCTTACTCCAACTGACTTCCGTTCAAGCTCATTTTGGCTATATTTGTTCTGTGTAAAAGCATCATCGTTAACTTACGTAAACTAAAAATCGGACTATTCTCAAAATATATTTATGGTAAAAGCGGAATAATCTCAGAACAACATTT